AGGGAAAATATACGAATATACAAGATAATCTGTAACTAACCGTAAGTCCCGCACATTTTGTCTCAGTTGTAGTAGGAAAGCGACAAGGAAACAATACAGAGACTCACGAATAATGGCGGCGAACTGTTTTTTTTTCTCACGTTGTAATACGGCAGCAGAAAGGGGTTTTTACGTCTAATTACGTGTTTAACGGCAATTTTACGGTTGGATAAGATAGCTTAAGATCTTTCAGTTATTTAGTACACATTTTTGTCACAATTTTTGCTAGTCATTGTTATCTGTTGTTCATGACTGTACACATGACCATAAGCACGGGATTCGGCTATTAAATCTGCACATGAAGTTGAACAGACAGAAAGCACAGAACTACATTGTTGTTGCACATATTTTTTTTATATATACCAGGGAAGACGGAAGTAGGAAAAGAAAGAAAACAGTTTGGGTATGATGAGTTAAAACTGATATAACCTTACTGATTGCTTTCAAACCATATGCATTGTATCGATGCGCTTTAATTGATGACTAACATGAAGCAGTCATTATGAATGTAATTAGGAAGGTTTCCCAGCAACACACTCTATCCCAGCTAGTGAAAACAAAAACTCTCACTTTGTTTTTTCAGATGATCGTATTGCCTTTTCCGTTATTTCCCGATCAAATCAAGGAGCACATGGCAGGTGTGACCGGTCGCTGGGGTGCTGCTCACTCTACCTTGGGGCCTGATCTCACCTCTGATCGTTTAGAGGTCCGTAGTTTGTTTTTTTTCTCCCCTGTTGGTACAGTATGTTTGAATGCACTTTTGAGATTGAAAACTGTTCATTATCTCCATATATTTCATCCGTAACATCATTTCTAGATTCTTGAGAGATCATCCGTAACATCATTTCTAGATTCTTGAGAGATCACCAACTTTCGGTTTAGGCATATGATACTTAGTAGTGGTAACCGCCTTCCGCTGGCCAGTTAAATCTAAACCGAGTATACATCAGGACCCTACCTACTACACTCAATTACAGGAAGAGTGTCTTGGCAACGTAACTTAATCTGATTAAATCACAAAAATACTGAATGAAAACACATTTTAAATGATTTTTATTGTAAAAGTGAATAAACTAAAATATTAATATAGAATAGATCTAGAAATCTTGAATATATTCTTTCCATAGCTTTTAACACATCTGCATGTATTTCTCATACATAACAGTTATCTGAAAATAAGTCAACTTTTATAAGGATTTAAAAAATAAGAAGGAGCCACTTGTATTTTTTAAATAAGAAATGAAATTATAGTAACATTTGTTTTCTCAATGATTCCTCTTTATATCGGTATTTTTGAAAAAATGTTATTGCTGGCGTCCATGTACAGAGAACCTTAATTACGATTGTATTTTCTCAATGTCTTTTACTTGCTTAGACGTAACACGTCTTGAAAAATCTTCTCCATTCGTGACATTCTCGTACAAGAGCCGCGTGGCGTTGTAGCATTAACTTGATTGGCCGTAACCGTAGCTTAACAATCACCAGTGAGGCCGTCGCATTATAAGATATCACTACGGGATACCGTGGTTGCCCGTAACAGTGTCCGTGGCGTGAATGGCATGGTCCTTAATGAAACCCGTGTCAAAACCTTGTTGAATCGTTCAATAATCTTGAAACAACCTTTTCGTTTGCTTTTGGCGCCAAAAAATCGTATAAGCATTACGATTTCTTGCGGTTTATCAAATCGGGATGAACCGTTGCAATTCATGTCTATTTCCGTGACAGTGTGACCTAGGCTTAAATTCGAACTGAGGCGACAGCGTTAGGAACTGTTTACGATATTTCTACGATTACGAAGGATTAAACGCCGTTACATTCGATACTCGTACGAAGGACTACGATATGCCATGTTACATACACGATATTCACTATAAACACTAATATACATATATATACACTAATGGCGATTTCTTACGAATATACATGTACTGGAATGCATACTAGTATATAATGTAAAGGGAGATTTTTCTGAAATCATTCAACATCATAATTATGTTAGTTAATCACGGTAAAAACTACAGTGTGGAACTTTTGATAACCAGGTATGTTCAATTTCTTTAAGTTTTTGTTTATAGTTTCTTTTACACATGTTTTTTTTTCAAATTTATTTCACTTTTCTAAGCTTTTTTCTTTTTATTTTAGGCAGTATTTTGATTTCGACAGTGTTAACATCAGAAACCGTCTGCCTGTACATCGTATTACATGTAACTCGTAGTTCAATGGCACAGTTTTCGTACAGCACTTGCCATCAATCGTCCTTTTTCGTATCATATTCGCGGGAAAGTCATACTATGTTCTTATCAATTCGAAGAACACTTGCAGTATCTCGTAGGAAACTCGCACAAACTCGAAGGACACTCAAGGTAACTCTTAGGACTCTCGTAGTGTCGCGAGTACCACGAAGTTCCACGAATGTCGCATGAACTTGGAAGATTTACTACGAATATGAGTCTTCTTCTTCCACTGTCTGGCCTCCTTCATCAAGTTGAAGATTATGCCAGTTTGGGTGTGCGCATGTTCGATTAAAAGAAATTTTTGTTTGTTTTTTTGTTTTTTTTTAAAAAAACTGGATAAAAGAAAGTTTGGATTTATGGTGTCTTAATCACTTGAGATTTAAATATCTCAAGTGATGTTGCTGCCGCAGTGTCCTCTGGCAAGCTGTTCCATTCCTTGATAGTTCTACAGAAGTATGACCACTTCCTGCAGTCCTTGGTTGCTGATGGTATTGCAAACGAGTGTTGTTTTGTATGCCGTGATCTTCTTACAGGCTTAGTGAAGTGGTCCTCTGGGCTAATGGCTACTTTGTTATTTACTATCTTATACATCATTATTAATCTTGATGTTTTTCTTCTACTTTTTAAGTTTTTCCATTCTAGATGTTTAATCATATCTGCTACGCTGGATCTATTTCTATAATTGCCCATTACCTATCGTGCCGCTCTTCTTTGTACCTTTTCCAACATATCAATGTGGCCCTGTTGGTACGGGTCCCACACTGTTGAAGCATATTCTAACTGCGGTCTAACCAAAGATGTATAAGCTCTTTCTTTTATCGACTGGAGGATATATGAAGATTTCGTTGTAGGAATCCTAAGGTTCGATTTGCCTTCTTACAGATATTTGAAATATGTAGTCCCCAATTTAGATCAGATGTTATAGTACAGCCTAGGTATTTTGTGGACTCTTCATGGGCAAGTACATGATTATGAAGGGTGTAGTTGAAGATAATAGGGTTTTTCTTTTTCGAAACTGTGAGTACTGTACATTTATCTGGGTGAAATTTGGGTGAAATTTCATTTTCCATGCTGGGTTCCTGGTTTTAGAAATTTATCTTTCCAATTCCATCCTGGCAAGTTGAAATCTCCCCAATCAAGATCTGTGAGTTTGGGCTACATGCACGCTGAACTGATGTTTCAAAAGCTGTTAGGTCTTCGGATGCTTTAGGATTATAAAACGCACAAATTCTAAGATCTTTCTGTCCACTTTGCTGTATACGGGCCCAAACGATTTCCCCCTCTGTGTCTAATTCCGGCATCTCTGAGCTCAGGAATTTATTATGGATGGCAATGAGCACGAGCAATGAGTACGAGTGCAGTGCGGATGCTGTGCGATTGTCTCACAAAAATTAAAAATCGTGCTGTGTCCACGATTGTTTTGAACATGCTCAAAACAATCACCAGTTTTGGCGATTTTCTGCGATTCAGCAATATTAAGGAAGATATCCTACTTCTGCGATAAATCCCGATTTGCTGCGATTTGTGATTTATAATGAATCGTAGCTATAAATCGTTACAGTGTGACACGGGCTTAAAGGATTGTTTTAATTTCATGAGTAAAATTATATTTCCATGAATCCATGCAAAGTTTATACAAATATTTTTCTAAATATCAAATACATGTATCTTAAAAGTTAATTGCACAAAAATATAAATATAACTTAAAAATACCTTTGCAGATTTTCTAAAGGTTAAAGCTCCTCAAAACGATGATATAAATCTATGGATGATCAAAAATTTTCAGTCTTATTATAGCACAAAAATTACCAAACGAATGAAATTAATTGGACAGGTATTTATACAAATAATTAGCAGTAAAATAGTTATCTTGTATATTTTGTGAAGTAGAAATAATTAAATTTTGCTATATTTTCGTAACTTATAAAAAAGATGCTATTGTTATTCAAAGGTATACGGGTAATAAACAGTAACGATTGATAAAGCTATTTATAGCCACGGTAATTTTCAAGCTATAAATACACCTGTATATCAAATGAAGGTAACCTGAACTTTAAAGTAGAGTAGGTTCACTAATTGTCTTCAGTGACTTACTGAGGATAATTACATAAAGCAAATTAATTTCAAGATATGCTCAATCAGTATTGCATTGCAAGAAATATTAAAGTTAGAGAGTTATTAATTTTCTTTGTGAATCTTTAAATAATATTATGGATGCTTTTTGCAAGGAGCGGATCAAAATGTTACAATTTGAAGGTATTATGTTAAGAAATGTATTTCTTTATTAATTTTTTTTTCATTTTATAGACTCACTCTCAAAATACTGATTAGAATAACGATATTCAAATGCATGAGTAATAGATTATTTTAGAATAAGAGAGCAGGAGGCCAAAAATTAGGAGATTATTTGATCCACTCTTCAGAAAGGTAAAATGTTGAAATTCATAGAAAAATTACAAATTTTAATATTTTTGATATCAATTATAATCTGCGTCATTTGCAATCAAAACATGCATCTAATTCTAATATCAGTAATCTTTAAACCTTATATGTGCATGATAAAATTAGGTAGAATATGGTGTACTTTTAAGCTTTCATTTAGATATAAATGTTGTGAATATTTGTACATGGAAATTTCCTCAGGAAATTGGGCGCTCAATAACACTTTGCAATCAATTTCCTAAAACAAACATACCCATGGAAAACACATTATGCTGGAATTTTTATCATGAAGACAATATTCATTTTCCTTTTTGTGTTTAAAGTTTCCCTGCAAGTTAACGTAAAAAATGAAACTTTGTGTGAAGGAAGGTAAAAAAGAGTTCAATTTTAAATGACCATTTAATATTTTGCAAAATTCATGTATTTGTTCTCATCAGATTAATCTATTTTTCATGACATTTCTTATAATTTCATCTAAAAGACCAAGTCCATGCTGTGCCGGCTATATGTTGAGTACAAATTCTGGCTCATGTGTAGGTAAGTGATATGTTTTCTATGAAATATGATGTCTTCCCCAAATGTCTTATTAATTACATACATCTAAACACGTAAAAAGAAATAAAAATGACAATATTTTGGATAGGAGGGGGGATAGTGGTGGTGTTAGTTCTTTTATTTCTCAATCAAATTTGTATAACAGGTACACTACCATATTATTAGCATAATTATTTCGCTGAACTGCACCTGCAATCAAAAAGGGGGCCAGCATTTCTTTAAAAAAAATTAACATAGAAAAATTAATGTTTGAAAAACCAGACTGATACTACATGCCTATGTAAAAGTATATACAAAGTTAAATCTATAACGTTTTAACACAGGAAATATTTTTATGTAATACCTGCTTGTTTACATATTATTGAGATCTAAATAACCTTCCACTTTCTTCCTGGATAAAAATTACAACTCCATATTTGTGTGAATTGTCATTTATTGAAAATGACAATGAGTATTAAAGAATACAATAAATGGGGAGATCAAAAAACCTTATACAAATATTCTTTTACATAAACAAGTAAAGTTGTATAATGATCTCCCCTGTTACATGTCAAAATAATGTACGAAATAACAGAAAAAATTGTAAAACATATATACATTACAAGCAAAAAGTTGGCGTTCAAAAATAAAAACAAAAAGAAGCCCCCTACACAACGCACTGTTGTGTTTTAAAAAAGAAGATAACATTAAATAATCAAACATGTTTTACCATAAACATAAATGTTTGATATTTGACTGATGGTGAAAGCTGGGGAAGGTGGGTGGGTGATTTCTTAAGTAGAAAAATTTAACGTGTTTTTGTTTTCCCTCTAAATCAGTGAAGAGGCGCTAATCTGAGACACAAGAAAATACACGCTTCTGATTGGTTAATGTACACAGGTTTGGCTAATTCCCCGATAGACGCCAAATACACATACATATGATATGTTTTGATTTTAAGAAAACAAAAACCTGGTACCATAAAACACATGATTACATAAATGCTATTATTTGACAATAATGCTGTATTATGTAATACCTGCTTGTTTACATATTATTGAGATCTAAATAACTATTTTGAGATAAACCATTCCTGGAATTTACAATGCAATAGCCTTAAACATTATTATTTGCTGCAAGATTAACCTTGAAGGAAATATATGTTACTCTTTTCATTAGCATGTTCGTTGGGATACTTTGGACCTAAGTGCAAATGGCAATGTCCCTATCCCCAGTTTGGAAAGATTTTGCCAGAGAAGATGTCTTTGTGATAGAAAGAAATGTAACAAACGTACAGGATGTATCAGAGATATTAATCCAGGTGAGACGGTCTAAAAATTACCCCCATCCCTCCCCACAGCATACAGAGATCGAGTATGTAATAAACATAAAACAATTATTTATATTAAAAGTATGCTAATTATAATTATTCGTAAATTTTTTCGGAGTAAATTAATCTTAGATCCATACAAAGCCATTCCTCCTCCTATCTTTTTCAGGGTTTATTTTTTCTCTTCCCCTTTCTGTGTTTGCTTGCTTGCAGAAAAAATGCTTTGATGAACTACTAAATCAGGTATTTCTGATAGAGAT